CTTCAGCAAACTATCCAGGCTACTTTCATATTAATAACCTGAAGGAACAACTCCAATTAAAACATCCCTTTGCTCAATATCATCAATTGCTCTTGACTTGCAACATAGAATCCAGTGGTGGTGTACCTCTCAAACTGTGTACAGTCTGACACCAATTCCCTTTCTATTTCTTGCTTCTATAGTTGCACCTGGGAAGTTTATCCTCTCAAGTACTTAGCAGGATTTTAGTTTTAAGTTACAAATTATATAATTATCTTAACCTAAAATTACACATATAGTAATATTTAGATTTTGAATGGTAGTTGGAAATGATAGTATTGGAAAGCATATAATTACAAGAGAATTTAAATGGGAAGTTCTCTGCTGGACACCAAAATAGTGTTCTAAGCAGACTGTAGAACTGAACTCCAGAACTTTGTGATTTTTGTCTTCAAATATGTACTTTTTCAACCCTGATTTTATTAATTAAAAAGAAGCCATTATGGTATTCTAAAATTAATTAAAAAGAAACCAATATGGTATTCTAAAAGGTCAATATAAAAAACTAGAAGCATCAAAAGTGTCTGAACATGTATCTTCATTTTCTATTTTTTATTTCACTCTAATAATAAATTCTCCAAAAGAAATGTATCTTCCTGTCTTATGCAGTCATATAAGCCAGATCATTTTTTCCAACAGTAATACACTTCATTAATATGCTTCTTGGAAAACTGCCTGGAGAGGAGAAGCCAGTTCTAATTTTTAAATACTCTAGACAGCTTGTTATAGCTTAGGCTGAAATTACTGCAGGCAGATCACGCACACCTGAAATCTACCGTACACTTGTATATGGTCCTTGTTGATTCCAAGAGATTTACTGAATTGAACACTTAAGCAGAAATAACACTACTCTTGGCAATTTGTTATATGGATAAATTTGCATTTTTAAAATGAATTAAGAGTATCATTAAATTCAATTTCCTATTAGATTGTATTAAGTATCTGCAAGACACCATATAGTTATTTAACCAAACTCTTTCTCCATTGCCGTAAAGAAGCCTTACCATTGAAAACTAGAACTTAGGAGGTCCAACAGGTTCATATTAAAATGACCCATCTTTACATACTCTTTTTCTTTATTATACACGCACATAAATAAACATGTGGAAATGGTAGAAAATGAGTCATACTGCTGAGCATTTACACTTTTTGATTTGAAGAATGTAATTGAATACCACACACTCAAGGCAAATAGCTACATTTCTAACATTCATCAGAAAATTAGAAGTTTTAAGCATAAGCTCATATTCTCCAGTTAAATTTTTGTGGTATATGCAAATAATATAAATGTTCAAGTATTTCACCTTTAGATTTGCTTAACTACAATGCTAAGATACCTCAAAAGATTATAGGTTTCCCATTTCAAATAGTTCTATTAAGTATCATTAACATACTTTTTAAATCCCTTAGTGGTTTAAATCTATATTCTTTTTCTACTATGCAGAGTAATTATTATGTTTATTGCCCAAGAGGAGAGTTAGTTTCTAGAAATGAAATCTTGGTTAAATTTTTTTGCACACTACTTCAAATACAATATATGGAAAAATGGAGCTCTTGGAATAACCTTGTAAAATCATTTAGAAAATAAAATGGTGTAAAATAGCCACTGTCTGTAGTTACACTTCCTCCAATAATCATTAAAGATACAGGGAAGCCAGACTTTCTTTAGCATTCAGTTTTGTTGCAGAAAGCAATATTTAAGTCCTTGCAGAATGACTTAAATATTGCTTTCTGCAACAAAACTGACCATATTTATTCACACTTTGCCCTCTTGTTTTGAAAATAATGTGAGTGAAATATGCACATAGGTAAATTTATATGGAGTTAAAATAGAACACATGCTTGTTCTATTTTAAGAGAAGCCTGATGCTTGAAACATTTCACTTGTCAGAAGCTTAATAGGAATATTTCCTAAATGTGCAATGAAACTAGTAATAAAATATTACTAAATGGAAAAAATATACTTGTTCAAAATCCATTAACTATTTTACAGCTCTATGGAATCATATAAAAATTTAAAACATGTCCTAACATGCAATAATCAAATTAAATATTTGCCTTGGTATCAAAAAATGTTCTATTAATTTTTATTACTCTCTTCCTCCCTTTTTATATAGCAAGCACAAAATGGGAAAACAAATTTGGGGAAGAAATTGTGGTTGTAAAGTTATTCACATGAGTGACCTGGAATTTGGTTTATAATTATTACCTAAAGTTAACTCAAGAGCACCATTTTTTTAATCCTTTATCTTCAAGTAATATCTGCATCTCAGAGAGGAAAATGTTGACATGCTTATTTCTATCTTCCAATGAATTATATAAACTCCAGGTTCCTGCAAGTATTGACTCTAAAAACAATATGTAAATTTAAATTCAGTTAGACAAGAGTTCAGCAACAGGCTCTTCCATCCTCGTATTACCTACTTATTACCCCTATTTTCCTCCTTCATGTACTGGAAATGAGGATAATGCCTGCCTTGTGAGCTGACAAGAGCATTCCTGTGAAGGACATAACACAGGATCTGGCACATAGTAAATGCTTAATAAACATTATTACTATTTTGCTACATAATGAAAAATAACTTTAAAACATGATGATAAAAGCTACCTTTATTAGAAACTTACTAATGTGTCAGGCACCAAATGAATACTTAACATGCAGTATCTAATTTAACACATAATGTTAACCCGTTTTATACACAAGACCGTTAAGGGGGAACATGCTCCAGTCCAAACATTCCAAGGATCCTATCATATTGTAGTACTTTTCAACTACTCCTGGTTTAAAGAGAAAATTGACATGAAAGGATAAATCCTATTCTTACATTAAAAATAATAATTTGGTGATATCTCCCTCCATTATGGCAGATATTATCATATTAGCCAAGGTTTTCTCATAACCTTTTCTTGACTCAAGACACCATTAGATTGACTTACATAAATCAGGAAATTGATTACTTTTTTAAAGTTCTATTTCATTTCATTCTATGTTTGAACCAGATTTGGAATTTGGTTTTTTTGTTATACTCTAATATGCATGATTAGTTTGATTTGCTCCTGTATTTTGATTTCACTAATAAATTTAGGGGGTTATTTCTTTTATGTTATTCTTTAATAAGAAGAACAATAAAATCTTTAAATGCTCAGGAATAAATAGTTCAAATATTTGTATTTCTATCATCAATGTAATATCAGCAAGAAAAAAATATTCCACATTGGCCAAGGATTAGCCTTGGTTCTTTAAATCTTAATAGATGAATCTTAAAAATGTATAATACCCAGAGTCAATACAAAATTTGTGTGCAATATCTTGCACCTTTCTGATGAATGGATCTACAACTTTCTCAATGATTGAGAACAACTATTCAAGACAAAAGAAAGCCATGACTGAATGGTGGTGGGTGCAGGCACCATGGTGTAGTAACCAGTCTGAAATCCCACCTTTCAATGGCTATGTAATCTTCACTACATTTTGTAATATCTCTGAACTTCAGTTTCCTAATTTTAAAAATAAAGATAATAACAAAACATATTTCAGAAGTGGATTTACTATTAAATCTATTAAGCTTAAATTCAAAGCCTTGGAAATGTGTTCATATCATCAAGTATTTTTGTAAAATTTGCAACACTGTGTGTGTATGTGTGTGTGTGTTTTGTAATGGAGACATTCCAAATTGTGTAACTTCATATACTACCAATATTGGATCTTTCTCTTTTTCACCTCAGGAGTTGTTTTGTTGTTGTTGTTGTTTAAGGATTAAATGATTGTATATGTAAAACTTTAGGATTAAGCTTAGAACAGAGAAAACATTTGATTAATATTCATTCTCATGATTATCAACTATCATAGGCAATTTGTATGTGTTTATTTTTACCTTTGTTACATACAATTGAGCGTTTTAAATAATGTAGGTTAGCGTTCTTTAAAAAATAGCTTAGTATACTAACCAAGTTTTCTTTCTACTCAACAATTTTGGGAAAAGAAATAATATGAAATACATGAATTCAAATATTAGACTTATTGATCAGACTAAGAAGGGCTAGCTTTAGAATTTAATGAAGACCATCCTTTTATTTTGGCAAAAAAAAAATCCAAGACTTTTATTCAGAGAAAACTATAATGCCATGCAGAGTAAAATTGCCTTGTCAAGTGGCTGTTACAAGAAAAGATGAGTAGATAGATGAACTCACCAGAATTACACAAATCTTATAGCTATACAGAATTATCCAAATATCCAGGGATTCAGCAATATATTAAATTTTAAAAAAGGCCATGCCAATTTTTGTGTCACAGTTTTACATTTGGAACATATGATACCTATTTTACATTCATAATGTAAATCTTATTCAGGTGACCTCTATTTTACTATTTGTAATATAAATGCCTGCAAACCTAGAAGTTACAGGTAGGTTATTTCTAGAAATCATGGTTTATCTCACAAAGAATCACAATAAATATTGGCTTCTGATTGAACTCTATCTTTGGATTTTCAATTATCTTATTCAAACAAAGGAAATATATACATGCATTAAATATAAATAAAATTCACCAAAAAATTATTTGTATTTCAAATATTAGGAATTTGAATATTAAACTCATTAAATCATTGAGTCAATATAAAAATTTATTGCCTGCTTCAACTTAAAACCATTTTAAAGTAACACTTAGCATTGGCTCTAGCAACAGCTTAAATCCTGAAGCAATGTTGATTTATATTCATGCAGATCTGGTGTTGAATCCCTTTGAATGTTAACAATATGTATACATATATGTATTTGTAATTTAATGTTCTTTTTAGAGAAAAATGCTAGCTATGTTTGTCTTGCCTTTCCTAAGTCAATCATAAATTGTCTAATGAATTCACTCAGGAATATTAAGAAAGAAAATTGTTTAGTTTTACTCTACTCAATAGAAATAAAACAAGAAAGATATTTCCAGGTAGTAAGCTGCATGGCCAAAATTACAGTGCCATTTTCTGCTTCATGCCATGCCCATTTATCAAAACAGAATTGGTCACCGGGTTCTTAGCATTGCTTTTCAGAGATGTCATACGCACTGCAGAAGAGCTGACTAAGTAGCTGGCTGATCTCTCTGGATAGGACTTCCTCCCACAACAGAGCTGGCTATTGAAATGCCTCCTGAAGCTTTCACTGAGTAGATACAGGGCAAATGGATTGACACAAGAATTGCAAAAGCTCAGAATCCGGGCAACTAAGGTGGCAATCATGTGGCCCAGAGATGGATCAATCTTGCTATAGTTGAAAGATCTATACATATAGAGGATGTGATTTGGAAACCAGCAGAAGGCAAAGCAGCCCACGAAGACCAGCACAATTTTAGCCAGGCGTTTCCGAGTTTCCATCTGCAATACAAGGAAAAGGCCCATTGGTTAAAATGAAAGGGGAGACAGCCACATCCAAAACTCATGACATAATAGGGGTAAACTTATATAGCAGGTTAACACATCGAAAATACCAAAACTATTTGTTTTCCTCAACAATGGGATGGTTTCAACAGTTTGATTAAGCCTATTGTGGTCACTACACTGTTTCATTCATAACATTTTACAGTTTATACAAGACTAGATAATAAAATATTAAGAAATGGTTATGTGTTTATGTGAAAACTGTGATCTTAAAAAGTCTCTTATTTTCAAATACTTTCCTTTAGATTTGTTCATCTTAATTATAAACCTCTTCTATTTGTATTAAACCCACTGGATTAATGAATCATAGAATATAGTCAACCTTAGAATTTCTTTTTAAAATCAGGATATTTTAATAGGAAAAATACATCTAATAAAATAAGCATAACTTTTTTTTAACCCTTACTGCACATACACAAAATCCTTGGGATTTAACTTCAGACTCATAAATTCAAAACACCTGACATAACTGTCAATAACTATTACTGGGTTAGTTACCTTTCTTTATTTTCATAAAATTTACATACTGGGTTTATTCCTTTATAGGCAGGTTTTCAGGAATGTGATAGAGACACAATTCAAATATTGGGCATTGATCTTTTGAAATCTAAATATCATTTCCAATATTCTAGAGTCCAGGGTTAGCTGATATTTGCCTGATTTGTTCAAATATTTAAATAAGTCAACATGCATGTGAAAACAATTTCTCAAAAGATATTGATAATAAGCAACATGAGCTAAAACTAAGGGTAGTCAACTAGAATATGCCAGAGGAGACTGGAAATGTTTAGAAATCAAACAGGTCTGACATAGGGGAGAAGTAGTTAGTAGCGACAGCTAAGGAGGGGGAGAGTGCAAAGGAGTGTAGTTTAGAAAGCAGAATGTGGCACTCCAGATGTTTCCCTGGGACACGGTAGGCGACCCTGCAATATTAAGAAGGTCAATGTAAAATTTATATTACTAAGGCGTGTCCTTCCTAGCAGGTGGAGCTTGTGTGCAAGAATTTCATGGCAATCTATACTTGGGCAGTCAAAAGCACAGTTAGGCTGTTAGCATTGAGATTACTTCTCAACAAATTTCAAGCACAATTACCCAGCCTGAGTGTATAAATCTCATTAGAGAAATTTATAAAAACAGGACAGAACTAAGGCCAATATGAAAAAAAATGATGGTGGGGAGGGTAAGAGGAACCCAACTCTACAAACCAGCTCCCCAGGCTCTGAGTGAAAGAATTATATAAAAATGGAAAAGCACATGACCTGGACATTGTTGCTTCAATGATACCAGATATTTAGGGGGCGGGGGGGAGAAACTACTAATGTATCTAACAATTATTTTAATGCTAGGTTGATTTTTTAAGGCTTTCAAGCAGAGCTGGATCTCTGATGTTGATGGTCATCAATAAATGGAGGCGACCTTCCAAGCCAGAAACCTTGATGAGATCCTGCAGTTGCTCAAGTGCCCAAAGCCCCAACCTGTGTCTCCATATACAATCCTGCAAATTCCAATGACCTGCCATTCGACGTGTCTTCATTCAAATTAGGGAACAGTCACCTGTAACCTCCCTGCGCCTTTGGAAGACGGTCCTCGCTGGGAGTGCACAAATGCACAATTTGAAACTTTGTCCCATAAGTAGAGTTTTCCCATCCCTTTGTGGGTTAACATAAATTTCCCTTGTATTAGGACTGCATATTCTTTAAGGAAGAAAGAGTATGTAAGGTACATGTTGCAATTTTCAAGTTAATGTATAATCTGTACAGAAAAATCTATAAAGTTGAATTATGACTTCAAGCATGACTTCAACACCAGCCTCCCTTTGATCATTCTCTTGTTCTGCTGCCCCTTCTCCACTGTGGCCTCCTCCAAACCTCATCCCCAGCCCCAGGCAGTGTCCGACAGCTCTTTCCTGATTCCTCCTTCTCCCAGACTTCCTGTTGTCCTTATCTTAGTGGGCTAATGGGAGAGGACAATAATTAAATAAATGTATACTTAAAATGTGAAAATTTTCTGCTTCAATGTGTGGTTCTTTGCATAAACACTTGCATGTAAAATAAACTCTTCTGAGATGTTACATTTTTATCATTGTAGGCCCAGAAGGCACAGTAGATGGACCTTTGTGGGACTTTTCAGAGCTGTGACATGGCCACATCTTAGAGACCCCCAAGGCCCCTTCCAGTTAAGGCCAGTGCATGTCCCAGTGCCCTCTGTCTCAGTTATCATCCCTCCTGGTATTGAGAACCCATGAAATTGAACCCAAATAGCAGTACTGCAGCTGACCAGGGCACCCCCAACACACACACACACACACACACACACACACACACACACACACACACACGGAGCTTACCTGTTTTTTGGTATGTTCGTTGTATTCTCCAGGAAGATTATGTGCACTTTTAATTAAGGTCTTTGCAATATGATAATAATAAACACTAATAACAGCAAGGGGTATGAGGAAATACACCAAGAAGATGAGCACTGAATGGATCTTCGGGTGTAACTCGTCAGTCTGAGGGTAGGGGATGCACGCTGTGAAGCTGCCGTTATCCAAGCTGTCGATGCGCACCACTTCCGAAAACACAGCTTCGGGAACTGCCAGCAGCACCGAGACCACCCAGATACCCACCGCCTTCACGCAGGTCCACAGCACCGCCCCTGACGCCTGGATGTCCATGGGGTTTACAATGGCTTTGTACCTGCGAAGACAACATGCCGCAAATTACTCTTACTTATGAAAGGAGGTGAAAAAGAAGGGAGGCAGGCAGGAAAGGGGGGAGGGAGGGAAGGAGGGAAGGGAAATCTTACCTGCTAAGAGAGAGATGCCAAACCCCATTATGCCCTAGCTGTTTTGTACTAAGATCCCCTGGTGTCTCTGTCTGCTTATTCTACAGCTTATTAGCACCGAAGATAAGAAGACAGAGAAAAATATCTGAAATTGTTATTTCCCAAATTACAGTAATTTGGTTACTGCTTTCACAAGTTTTTTTTTTTCTAAATCTACACATAAGTGTCATTATTTACTGAATACTTTTAATTAAATACTGTTATTTTTGAAAAATCTATTGCTACTATAATTGCTATAATATGCAGTAACCATAAAAAAAAAAAAGCCACAAACTATTTATTAAATTTTACCTTGATACACTTTTTTAGCTGATAAACCTGAGTCGCCACTTTTTTTTGAAGAATACTAGAGGCCTGGTGCATGACATTGTACACTTGCGGGGGGGGGGGGGGGGAGGCTCAGCCCAACCTCTATCCTCTCGGAGTCTGGGACCCCTCAGGGGATGTCCACGTAAGCTGGCAGCCTGACAACCCCTGAGGGACCCTTAGCACTGGCTTCTGGCTGAGCAGTGCACCCCCTGTGGGAGCACATTGACCACCAGAAGGCAGCTCTTGCGGTGAGCGCCTGCCCCCTGGTGGTCAGTGCACGTTATAGCAATCCATCATTCTGCCAGTCAGTCAATTTACATATTAGCCTTTTATTATATAGGATCAGTAAATCAGTTTAAATGGGAATATTTTTTCCCCATCATCCAGTTATAAGGACTGAAAGAAATAGTCCATCTTTCAATTTCAAGTTTATTTAATGTGGAGACCTCATGAAGTCCTCTCTCCTCCCACCTGCCACCATCATAGTGGTAAAGGGTCCACTCTAGGACATAAGGGCTTCAGCAATTCAAACCCTCTGCAGCTAACTCAGTCAGCACACCGGGGCAATCATAACATAAACAAACCAAAATGGTATGTAAACCTCACACTACTTATATTTGTCTTTGAAGATATGTTAGTTACAGTATACCTAGGAGGTTAACAAGATACAGTTAAAAGTGATTTTGGTCAAACAAATCTGCAGTGTCATCGTATCTCTGACAAACACTGGAAAAATCACTTAATGCCTTTTCCTTTTCTCTGTGGAGTGGGGATAAAAACAAAAGTTTAAAATTAAAAATCAAAAGTTTATGATTAGAAAAAAGTGCATAGAATACCTGGTACAGTGCCTGGCAATTAGCAGAGATTAACCATATGATAACTCTGTACCTTCTACTTATTTACATTTGATTTAGTCAGATGTTCTAACCATTCAAAATATTTCCAGCTGGAAAACAATCACATAAGGCCTCCGTCAGGTTCTGTAAGGATGCTTTCTGTTTCCCCCAGGAGAGGAAGAGTGCCCTCAGCCTCAATCCCACTCTGAGGAAGCCTCTTTCTCCTTTGGGGCTTGAATCCCCCAGACCCTCAATAGAAAGAAGCTCACTTGCATTTTTATCTGGAGGATCTTCCCATGCGAAGCAGAAAACATGGAAATTAAAGTAGAACAACAGCAAAGGGCTTCAACACCAAATTAAGTAAAATAGCATGAGTCATGCATTTTGCTTAGACTTAGCACAGAGCATCTTGTTTACTATTCTGTTTACTTGAACATTCTTCCAAAGAAACTTAATTTTAACCAGTAACTAGAATGAGCTATTTTTTCTGCTTTTTTAAAAAAAATTTTTATCAGCTTGATAACATTCTAAGAGGTTTATTTGCTTGTTTTTAAACTCAGAGAGCACTAAGAGCACTATAAAGATAAATAGAAGTCCCTTGTAACTAACATCTCAGACCTGGCTCCTGGATTAAAACAAATTTCACATCATTCCATATGCTAGTATATAGGAAATGTAATTCTTTCACTGTCTCCTGAATCCAATATTACAGATATCATCTCTTGATATCCCATTGTGGTAATTGAAGATTTTCTCCCTGAAACCTCTATTTCTTCCATTCACAACTTCCTGATTTAGTAAGCTATATCATTTATAAAATAGTCAATAGGTTATTACTAAACAAATATCACTCACTGCCTAGTTAAGTAGTATATTATGACATTCTCTTTATTATATGCATGTCTGATTTTCCTAGAGTTGTTACTTAATAATTTTTCATTTTTTTTATTTTCCATTAATCTGAATTAAATCCTTTTCTAAATGCTTTTTCATCAACTTCCTGAATAATTGGAGTACCAGTGGTTGAATCTCAATTATTCTTCTTTCTTAATGTTTTACTTTATCAAACTCATCTGCGTCTTCTTTGAGGTTTTATTTTCTAAGCTGTCTTATTAGCTTTAGCTTACTTCCTTTCTTCTAGACTGTTTATTATATTGTTATTTTTTAACTTTTATTGTTGGAAGTATTACATATGTCTCCTGTTTTTCCTCCCATTGACCCCTTATAGCCCAAATTTTAGAAGTTCTTTCTAGTTTTCCAGTTATTCTATGGCTATGGAAATAATACTACCTACAGAAAATGTTTCATTTTCTTTTCCTTCTAGAATAGTTTCAAGTTTGCTTTGTGGTTGTTTAGTTTTTTTTTTATTCTAAAACCACTCCTCAAAAGCTAAATATTTATTGCCTGACAATTCATAGTTAAGATCAAACTAAGAAAAGGCTGATTACAAATTTTTTTGTATGTGGAGGAATAGGGAAAGGCGGAAATATGGGGTGGGAGGAAGGAGCTGTTGATCACTCAGACAGACTAGTTAACCAGACTCTCTTTGTAGGCTGTTAGAAAAAACAAAGTATATTCTGAATTTTTCTTTGTGTTTTTTTGTTGTTAATCTTCCCCCCTCACCTGAGCATATTTTTCCATCGACTTTCAGGAAGAGTGCAAGAGAGAGGAAACATCACATCAATGTGATAGAAACACATGATTTTAAAGGAGAGAAGTCTGCAACTGAGGTATGTGTCCTTGACCAGAATTGAACCCAGGGCCCTTCTGTCCACAGGCCAACACTCTATCCACTGAGCCAAACCAGCTAGGGCTTCCATAGTTTTAAAAGGAAGGAAAAGGTCACTTGCCTACTCTCACCCCTACCCCATAACTAAGTACATTAGCAGAAGCACTTCAATCATAAAGGATGATGGGAAAAGTTCAAATAGGAATAAAAGCAATGATTCCCTTGTCCTGATAAGATTGTTATGGTAAACTTAGCAACATATCCAGAGTTTTTTGAGGAGGACTAAGAAAACTAGTGAGACTCAGGGCACACATTTTCAGGAGGCATGATTCTTAGCCACCTCCTGCAGGAAAGGGAAAATAGAGTCCATGAATCTTCCACTAAATGATACACATTGGATCAAAAAGAGTATTGCCCTCACCAGTTTTCTCAGTGGTTAGAGCGTCAGCCTGCGGACAGAAAGGTCCCAGGTTCAATTCTGGTCAAGGGCATGTACCTTGGTTGCAGGCTCAATCCCTGGGCCCGTCAGGTTGCATGTGGGAGGCAACCAGTCGTGGTGTCTCTCTCACATTTATGTTTTTTATGTTTTTTCTCTCTCCCAGCCTCCATTTTCTTTCTCTAAAAAATTTAAATAAATAAATGGAAAAAATATCCTCAGGTGAGGATTAACAACAACAAAAAATATCCCAAATGTTAAAAAGCCAGAAATTATAGTTAAAAACACAGATTACTAAAGGGTCATTATTACTACTAAACAAGAACTTAAACTGTCAGATAATGTTATACACCAACCAATATTTCATGTGCATTTTTTAAATTAAAAATATGTAGTGCAAATTAATATGAACATGTTTAATCGTACTTCCTTTAAATATTTATAAAAATATAGGAATGAAATAGTCCCTCAGCATGGCATTCTATCTCATTGAATTTAGTAGTATAATCGTATGTATAAAAAGTGTGTGTGTTTTTTCATGCAGATAGTCTCAGAAAGATATCTTTAACTGGAAACTAATCAATCAAAATTCACATATAGATAACATAATCATCATTCACATATTAAATATCAGTAAATATATATGCTTCTTTATTGATGCTTATTTTAAATATTGCTTATTATATTTGTATACAGTCTTAATTAAATCTTAAGAGGTAATTAAATTAAATCATATTATACAATATATTATGAAAATTAGATAATTTTAGCTCATATAAAGTTATCAAAACATCTAAAAATCTCCATCTATAAATGTCAGCAAAGCTTTCTAGTTATACCACCCATAATTTCTTTTTTTATACCAAACTTTTATTTATCAGAGACCAACAAAGTCCAAGGTGAACTATCTGATAAGTAGAGGATTTCATGGAAGCAAAAGAAAGAATTTCAAAAAGGCCCAGACAGCGTGGCTTAGTGGTTGAGTGCTGATCTATGAACCAAGAGGTTGCCATTAGATTCCCAGTCAGGGCACATGCCCGGGTTGTGGGCTCTATCCCCCGTAGGGGCGGGGGGGGGGGGGGGAGGGGCGGGGTGAGTGCAGGAGGCAGCTGATCAATGATTTTTTTTCTCCTCATTGATGTTTTTATCTCTCTCTTCCTCTCTGAAATCAATAAAATGTTTTTTTTAAAAAAGACTTTCAAAAAGAAGTGTAGGCCTCTGTGTCAAATACTCTCAAAGTAGACAAAAATCCTCTTGAAACCAGAGCTTGTGTCCTGCTCTCTTCTGTTATCTGTAATGTGTAACCCAATGTAGATTCTCAATAAATCTTTACTGAACTTATGTAGAAACCTGGCCTGAGCAAGAGCAGTTTGGGTAGAGTGGGGTGGTAGTTGCTGGCTATTAGGTTGCTGTGAGTATGGAAGTGAGAAATGGGAAGTCTAGTCTACTGATGCCCAAGTTGGATCAATCCCCAGAACCACCTAGAACACTGAAAATAGGTAGAGTATTATTACATTTCCTCTAAGACTCACTAGCACAGAG